ACAGTCTAAATTTGCCTTTCTTCATTTTGCAGCCAGTACTGAGATTAGTTTACCAATTATAAAGCTCCGGGGACAGCTTTTCTTTTTTCTTTTTTTTTTTTTTTTTTTTACCTTTTTTAAAGTTTGTTTGTTTGTGAATTTATTTATTTATGTAATTACTACACCCATTGTGGGGCTTGAACTCATGACCCCGAGGTCAAGAGTCGCATGTTCTTCCCACTGAGCCAGCCAGGTGCCCCTGGGGACAGTTTTTTCTTATATGCCATACCACGTAGCCTTAATGTATTCATCAGAGTACTTGCTAAAGTTGTGTAACACAAACAGTTGCTAAGATAATGTAAACATGAAATGATTTGGGAATGTTGATTTAGCAAGAGTCCATTATTTCCACGTCAGTGGCTTTACCTTGCCTCTGATGGTCCTGTAAATATTTATTACTCAGTCTAGGAGGTACTGTTTTGCACTGTAGTCCATGAGATTGTCCACTGAGTAGTATAGAGTTCAGGAAGTAAGTTAAAATTATAAGTGGAGTGGTCGGGGGTGGGAGGGATGGGGTGGTTGGGTGATAGACATTGGGGAGGGTATGTGCTATGGTGAGCGCTGTGAATTGTGCAAGACTGTTGAATCACAGATCTGTACTTCTGAAACAAATAACGCAACATATTTTAAGAAAAAAGAAAAAAAAGAAGATAGCAGGAGAGGAAGAATGAAGGGGAGTAAGTCAGAGGGGGAGACGAACCAGGAGAGATGATGGACTCTGAAAAACAAACTGAGGGTTCTAGAGGGGAGGAGGGTAAGGGGATGGGTTAGCCTGGTGATGGGTATTAAAGAGGGCATATTCTGCATGGAGCACTGGGTGTTATGAACAAACAATGAATCATGGAACACTACACCAAAACAAATGATGTAATATATGGTGATTAACATAATAATAAAAAAACTAATTAGAAAAGAAAAAAAATTATAAGTGGAAAAAGTACTGTTAGCTAGTGGAATTGGTAAAAGTTTTTTGAAGTACTGAGGATGTATTCTTATTCTGGGCCTCATGCTCCCCATTTGCTGCCCCTTTCAGTGGCATGAAGAACAATTTCAATATAACTTGTATAAGAGACCACTTTCATTGGCCTGCCATCTGCCTAAAATATCAAATATTTTTAGAACATAACATACAGCAACAATAATAATGCTAATTGCAGACAGAATTTGGTGTGTGCCACTTACCCTTCTTTTTTTTTTTTTTAAAGATTTTGTTTATTTATTTGAGAGAGAATGAGAGATAGAGAGCACAAGAGGGAAGAGGGTCAGAGGGAGAAGCAGACTCCCTGCTGAGTAGGGAGCCCGATGTGGGACTCGATCCCGGGACTTCAGGATCATGACCTGAGCCGAAGGCAGCCGCTTAACCAACTGAGCCACCCAGGCGCCCTGCCACATAACCCTTCTAAATAGTGTATGTACGGGGGCGCCTGGGTGGCTCAGTTGTTAAGTGTCTGCCTTCGGCTCAGGTCATGATCCCAGGGTCCCGGGATCAAGTAAGTCCTGCATCGGGCTCTCTGCTCCGCGGGAAGCCTGCTTCTCCCTCTCCCACTCTCCCTGCTAGTGTTCCCTCTCTCGCTGTCTCTCTCTCTCTCTCTCTCTGTCAAATAAATAGAATCTTTAAAAAATAAAAGTAGAAAAAAGTAGTTCATGTATATTTCCTAAATTCATCTTCCCCACATCCCAGTGTGGTAGATACTTTTATTATCTTCATTTTACAGAGAAGAAACTGAGACACAGAAATTTTAAGTAATTTGTTTCAGGTCACACAGCTAATACCCAGTGAGTTGGGATTCAGACCCCAGGCATTGTGGTTCCTACGAAGATAATGCCTCTCATACTATTCCATGAAATATCTAGTTGTCACTGAAAGCAACATGTTAACTTTTATAATCCCTGGAATAGCCATGGTCATTCACATATGTGAATATTTAAAATTATAATTGATGTGGTGCTTAGAATACAAAAATGGAAATGTTTACCATAAGGTAATTTCCTATCTTTCCCCCTTTGACAAATATATAAATTTGTAGGTTTAGCTGATTAAATATAATTTAAAAACATTAAAAATATTACATTTTAGTAACTGGAGAAGTCAGCAAACTTTTTTGTAAGGGGATTGTAAATATTTTATTTTAAGATTTTATTTATTTGAGAGAGAGAAGGGACAGTGGGGGAAGGGCAGAGGAAGAGAGAGAGAGAGAAGCGGACTCCCTGTAAATATTTTAGGCTTCGTAGGCCATAGGTCTCTGTTGCAGCAGTTCAACTCTGCTGTAGCCATAAATGAGTATGGAGAGGAGATTGTGGCTGTACCCAATAAAATTTTATTTACAAAGACAGCTGATGATGGTTTTATACTAGATTGCCAGTAGTTAAAATTATTTCTTTTTTTTCTTTCTTAGTTGCAAGAAGCACAAGATGGACATGCAGAGGCTGTAAGATGTATTGAAACGTTGAAAGATCACGTGCAAAAGTACAATTTAAAGCAGCACAGAAAATAACTTGAGTATTTCTAAAGCAGATAAGCAGTGTAGTATGAGAAAGATATCAGTTACGATAATAAGTACATCATTGTGAAGCTGGATAAAAGTTTCAGCTTTGCACTATTTTGAAATGCATAAATTTTGCATATTATCTTTAAGTTTTGCACATTAACTACAAAACACAACCAGAAAAATGGCACAATTGCCAAATCTTCTACTTTTTAAATTTTTAAGAATTTATGTAAGACCTTCAGATGTTTTAGAAATTATACGGTACTTTTAAAATTTGTGTGTGAGAGTAATTTTAAAAATATTCATTTTAGGCTTGAAGTTGAAAATGACAAGTTAAAAGTTACAGTCAAAAAACAAGCGGGCAAAATTGAACAACTTCAGGAAAACCTGTTAAGTACAAGTTCGGTAAGTCAGTCTCTTAATTTCTGTCCTACTGAAAAGGACTTTTTATTTCTCTATAGTAGTATATAAGACTGTTTTGTATAATACGAAAATTCTCACGGATAAAAATGTTTATTGTATTCATATTGCTCCTTGCTACTGGTAGTATCATTCCTCTTCATAGATGAAGTTGACTGAATTCATAAAGTAATACTTTTTATAGTAAGACTGTAATAAAAAAGATTGTGGTAGTCTAAGATAAGCAATATTTTATACATACCACATTTTATTTATCTGTCAGTGGACAATTGAGTTTTTCCACCTTTTGGCTATTGTTTAGTAATGCCGCTGTGAATATTGGTATATAAACGTCTGAGTCCCTACTAATATTTTTCAGTATGTTTAAAAATTCCCAAACTTTGAGTAATAATTTGATGTTGAATTCTGACTTTCTCTTGTCATCTAAACCCTTCAGTGAGATTTGAGAATGGATTACTTTAATGACAGTTTGTTGTGATTTATAATTATAAATTTGTAATTTGTTGTCTTCATCAAGAATGACTACTAGGTCATTATGCAAACATTTTTCTCAAAGGAATATATTTTTCTCTTTGTTGGATTTTGAAAAGGAAAAGAGATGCCAGTGAAAAAGTGGAAACGACTGATCAATCAGGGCCTTATATAGTAACATAGTGCTCCTAGCATTCACTGCAAGTTCAGGAACTAATTTTTTTTCTCATTCATTTGAGTTAATCAGCCTTTCAGAGATTTAACAATCCAATCTCAGAAAAAATTAATGTGCAATCCAGGATTCCAACTTATTGATATGTAGTGAAAACTATATAACTATTTACCAAGCAGCACCGGATTATCATGCCATTTATACCCTCCTTCATAGGAGAGGCTACCAATGATTTAAGATGAGAAGACTGCATTGTGAGTCCTAATTTGGAACAATGAGGTAGATGCACCTACCACTAGTTTCTTTTAGTCACAAAAGCTGCATACTTGCAAATTTCATTATACAGCTCTACCTATCAGGAGAACGAGCACATTCTGTTGACTGGTCCTTTTTGTGGCCAAAGAAACATTGAAAATTATTTTTTTTCTAGATGTCATATAAATTAGTCACATTGTATTACTGTACTTTTCATTGAGCAAGTAACGTGACAATATGTGAATGAGAATGCCAGGAGTTGTCCCCCTACGGTGTCGTATAGAAATCTATGAAGGAAGGTATCAAATCTTGTAAAGTTTGTAAGAATATCCGTAGATATTCTGTAGATGCCAATGGAAATGAATTAGAGTTATGACATAAAATTATTAGCCACTTTAAGGTCTGCCCTGTGAAACAAAAACTTAGCTTTCAACCAACTCAGTCCATAGTCCTCACATCTCTAGAAGGATTTTATCTCATGAATCCCTAGGGCAGAGACTACCTGGGTTAAGATATTGGATGGACATAGTTTTGAGGTGAAGAATCTGGATTGGGAAGAAGAGATAGCTCTAGGCTGACTTAAGCTTCCAAACAATATCGTCAAGTATGTGTCTGAAAAGAACTTCAGAAGAAGACTTCCATAAGATCAAATCTCTATGGAATAGGAAATTATTCAAAAGAAAACAAAGGCAAACCATTGATAGTCTGACCCTTGTGAGAGACATTTGCATCAGAAAAGAAAAGCAAGACAGAGTATGGTGGTCACCATCCTAAGGGGAAGGGTGCCCCCTGTGATTATAAAATAATACACTCAAAGTAATACCAAAAAGAGTCAACAGAAAAGGTACAAGATTAGCTGTCTAGGGGTACCTGGGTGGCTCAGTCAGTTAAGCGCCTGCTTTCGGCTCAGACCATGATCTCAGGGTCCTGAGATGGAGCCCTGCTCAGCTGGGAGTCCGCTTCTCCCTCTCCCTCTGCTCCTTCCCCTATTCAGCACTCTCTACTTCAAAGAAAAAAATTTTAAAAACTTAAAAAAATTTAGCTGTCTATAAAGGTAATCCACATCAGGTAATGGTTTTTGAGTGTGTGGTTGAGAATATTGTCTGTGACGAACTAGAAGGAAGATCGGAAAGTAGAGATGACCTCAGTAAAGGGGCCAAGGCTGGAAATGTAGATTAGAGAATCTGGTTTTGAAGCCTTGAGACTGAACCACCTGTGAGAGGATTTGATACGAGGAATAGCAAGGGTCAGGGACTAACAGCGGCTGCTGTCATTTAGAAATAAAATGGGATTAGAAGAGCAGAGGGAGGGTATGGTCATTATTTTCAGCTGTTGCTGAGAAGTACAGCAGGATAAAGACTTTAAAAAAAAGATCCTTGATGACCCTCAAAATTTTTTAGTGGAATTCCAGGATTGAAACTCAGATTTTAGTGTAAAAGAAGACAATAAGTGTTGGAAAGATGAATCTGTGGATGAGATGACACATTAAAGAATGTTCAAGTCCCGTGAAAGGGGAGGAGCAGGATGATAGAAAAAGCTGCCAGAGTTAAGCAAAAGTTTTTGTGTAATATCGAGAAGACTTAAACTTTGTTTAAAGAGAAAGGTAGTTAATAGAAAAGAAGAAATTGAAACCTTGCAGAGATGCTTGAAATGCTTGCAGAGAATGAGGGTATCTCATTCTAAAGTCAGACGATCACCAAAACTGTAATGGGGCCTGCATAGGAATTTTTCGGAGATGATCTTAAAAATGTATGATCTCACAAAACCCAGGGTATCTTAAGCTATGGATGAAAATGTTTCTAGGGCATCTTTAGAAACTAAAATGTAAATATAACCACTTTTTAAAAATTTTCATTAACCCTTAGTATTAATATGGGTAAGAACCTCTGTATTTAACAAGTAAATTTTGGCCATTTAAATTCTAGTAAAAATAATGATGAAAATGTAAAATCAGTTGAAGCTGTTTTTAGGAAAGGTCCTTATATTTGAAATTTATATTTATTGGCATCAGGCTTATAAAACTGCATTATATAAAACTTAAAATTATAAATTTTAAACTACATTATATAAATTTAAAATTATAAATTTATAAAATTTATAAAATGTAGTTTATGAGCCTTTCTAAACACGTTATTCCTCATGAATTCATGAGAAATAATATTTTATGATAGAAGAATGAGTATCTAGATTTTTAAATATAATTTTCTTTAAAAATTTTTTTCAAAGTCTGATGATGAACAGGGACAGTGTTAAGATGAGGGAAGGGTTAAGAGACTTTCTACTATGAGATGACTTACAGTTATTTTATGGAGGAAAGATCTGAAACAATCCTAGAAAAATAAAAGTATAAATGTGTGGCCAAGAGAACAATAGCAGAGATCTGTTTTAGTAACTACTAGTGGTTTTAATTTTGTTCTTAATTTTCTGAGTTATTTGAGGTTCCACATTCCAAGACTACTTCGAGTATAGATAACATTTTGTTGAAAATGAATTTATTTTAAAATTTGGGCACCTGGCTGGCTCTGTCAGTAGAGCGTGTGGCTCTTGATCTTGGGGGTTGTGAGTTCAAGCCCCGTGTTGGGTGTAGAGACTTAAAAATAAAATCTTTAAAAAAAAATTTGGTCATAGTTTTGCATTAGACTATTTTCACTCTACTTCCAAACGGTATTATTTTATTCATGCAGGTTGATGATCTTACAGCGAAACTGGAAACTGCATCTTCAAAATGTCTATACCTGGATGCAAAAAACCAGCTTCTTACCCAGGAGTTATCATCTATGAAGGAAATGCAGAAGAAATATGAAAAACTAGAGAAGAATAAAAAGAAGTTGAAACAACAAGTAGTACACCTCAGAAGTCATTTAGAACTCAGTATGGTAGAATACAGTAAAATAGAACAATATAAATGGGAGCTTGAAGAAAGAATAAGATTGGACATAACAGAAAAATTAAAAGAAGCCAGTCTGTTTTTACAGGTTAATTTACTGATCTGTAGTATGCTTTAATCATTTCACTGCAAGTTACATTTTGGTTATATGCATTGTATAATTTTCCTCTACTTCCTTGATAGCCATTTGGTAAATTTGAAGGAACATTTGTTCCTTCTCTTTAAAAATTTCACTTTTCATCATTATTCTCACTAAATTGATTTTTCAGAATGATTCACAGTAGAGAATCATTTTATTTTTTAAGACCAGTTGGTATAAAACAAGACTATTGACAGGAAAAGAAAAAATGGTGTTTTAAAAATTTTAACCATGGGGTGCCTGGGTGGCTCAGTTGGTTGAGCAGCTCAGGCTCGTGAAATCAAGCCCAGCATGGAGCCTGCTGGGAAAAAAAAGATGGTACCATACTTGGATTATTTTTTTTTTAAGATGTTTATTTATTTATTTATTTATCTGGAAAGCACGGGTGAGAGGATGCACAGAGGGAGAGAGAGAATCCCAGGCAGACTCCATGCTGAGTACGACACAGGGCTTTAATCTCAGGACCCTGAGATCACGATTGAGCAGAAACCCAGAGTCCGGCGCTCAACCGACTAAGCCAGCCAGGCACCCCCTGTATTTGGATTATTCTTAAGTTGTATTGTTCACTTTTTAAAGTTTTTAAAGGATTCTCTTATTCTCTGAATTATCAGATTGCATGAGTTCTAATATAAGAATGATTGAACTTTATCATTCAGATTTAATTCAGTTGACATTGATGAGAAATATTTTACACTTCAGCTTTTTTTTCACATTTAAAATTGCTCTCTGAATCATTGACTCAAAACTAAAGGAAAGAAATATACTGTATTTACCCAGTTTTAAAACTATGCTTTTAATTTGCTTTAGACAGAAGTAGCATCTCAGGAAAGGTTAGGACAGTTAAGAGAAACTAATAATGCTTCAATAAGAAGTCAAATGGAACTCCGAATTAAAGAATTGGAATTTGAACTATCCAGAATGAAAAGTTCTCGAGAAGATTTTAATAAACCAGAATTGGAAAAATACAAGCAACTCTACGTAGAAGAATTAAAAGTTCGAACGTCATTGACAAATGAACTGAACAAGTAAGTTGAAACAGAATCACAGAAAATAGATTTAGCTTGTTAATTTGCCTCTAAAGCATAATTTTTATGGAGCCAGGTTCATGAGATGAGTAAGATAGTTTAATTTTGGAAAACGATGTTTGTAAAAGAACTTACCTTTGAAATGTTAGTCCAAGACAGTTTGCCTCTCTCCTCCTTTTTTCGGTTTTACATGATTTTATTTTTTTCCCCTTAATATTTTCAGTTAATCTGATCTCCTAGTCTTTAAGCTAATTGTTAGAAGCTTTATAATTTAGACAGCGTGTTATTATAAAATTGTTTGTCAGAATTGCCCTGAATAGCAATGAGTTTCTTAATATTAGTGAGTTTATTTTTGGAAGAGTACATCTTTAACCCAAACTGCACATCCTGACAGCTTGGTAAACTTACTTTTTTGATTGTGATTTTTGTTATTATTACCAAATAGAGGGTGCTTTGAAACAAACTGTTCTTTATATAGTTTTTCTACCTTACATAAAGGTATACATGTGAAATACAACAAGATTCACCTAGGGGTGAAAGGCAGCATAGTTCCCAAAGTGGCTAAAAATAGCACCATGGTGGACATGAGGAGGGGCTGGGGAAAGACAGAACGGGTAGATGCCACCTCCAGTACCCTGGTAACTGTGTTATAACCTAATTGCCTCCGGAGCTGTTTTCTGTCTTTCTGATCACAACTCTGCCATCTAGCAGTTGTTGGTCTAAATTATTCCTCAGTGTCAAATGCTCAATTTCTCTGAGATAATGAGTGAAATGTACAAGAGTGGTGAAAGCCAATACTTGAAAATGTCTTTGAGGGATGGTTTATTTTTATTTTTATTTCAAAGATTTTATGTATTTATTTGACAGAGAGCAAGCGAGTGAGCTCAAGCAGGGGGAGCGGCAGGAAGAGGTTGAGGGAAAAGCAGGGGCTCGATTCCAGGACTCTGGGGTCATGACCTGAGCGGAAGGCAGATGGTTCACTGACCGAGCACCCAGCCCCCCGGGATGGTTTTATATTTTTGTATCTCTAAACTGGTTTACTAAATATAAGTATATGTAATGGCATGCTGCTTTACTAAATATAAGTATGTGTCATGGCATCCTCAGAACCTTGTAAGTACAGCCATTCCAGAAGGCAGCATGTATTACCTGTTAAGCATTGTGCATCACTAATAGCCATTTCTCTCCCTCCTTAATTTGAATTACTTGTTAGTTAGGAATCTCTAGAAATATATGTACTTCTTTAGAACAATTTTAAACCTATCATTATATATTGTAGGTCTGCTCTGTCACATTTTCAGTGTTAAAACACCCTTTAATGGCACATTCTGTTTACTATTATGGAAACTTTCAAAAAATGCAAGTCATTTAGGAATGATGTGGGGAGAAATGAAATACTAAGCGCTGTGTTTTGTAGTCTTAACAGGACTAATGAGAAGCTGGCAGAGAGCAGTACCAGACTTCTGGTGGAGAAACAGCAAAAACAGTCTTTGATTAATACTATTACTATGAGGCCTGTCCTAGACTTGCCTTCTGTTAGAAATATTAATAATAGTTCACTGCTCAATAGAAATGTTGGTCCAAGAGAAAACCTAGTGATTCTTACCCCACGCTCACGGCCTACAAATAATGGCATTGAGACTTTCTTGACCAAGGTTAGTTATGTTATCTTTTTTTCTTGGGTTTCAGATTTCTGATAGAATTTTTGTTTTTAATTTGGTGAAATTCTAAGACTACTTTCAGGGATCATTTCTATAGTTTGTTAATTTGGTGAAATTCTAAGACTGTACTTTCAGGGATCATTTCTATAGTTTGTTAATTTGGTGAAATTCTGAGTTGTTTGACTAATGCACACTAAGTGAAAGTCATAATTATATGTGCTAATAAAGAAATGAGACAGAAATTTTATGATATTTTTTTAGTTCCTGGAGCTCTTACTTTCAAGAGATACCTATTATTAGCTTTATTTAATAAATATAACTAAACTGACATATTTTATTATTTTTTTAAAGATTTATTTATTTAATTTTATTTTTTGAAGATTTTATTTATTTATTTGACAGAGAGAGACACAGCGAGAGAGGGAACACAAACAGGGGCAGTGGGAGAGGGAGAAGCAGGCTTCCCT